ACACACACACACACAGCCTCTTCCCAATATGCATTTTTGCAAATTGCATATATGCAAAAACGCATAAAAACGCATAATAGGCAATGATAACAGAAAGAGGCATGTTCTCGATTGTTTTCACTGAAAAATATCGCAACAGCCTTTTGCACTTATAATATGACAGGGAAGAATTTTGTTGGCACAGTTCGGCTGAGCTTGATACATCCCAATTAAAGTTGTCGGTCACGGCGTTGGGCATGGGTTCAGCTCTGTTGATGGCCAAGCAACCTCGGCGACTTCTGTTCTTTCCAATGGTAAATTGATGCTGGCACATGCCAATGTTACAAAACCGTCATCATTTTGCAGCCAAGCAATCCTCCAAGCGGGGATTTAACGATAGCTTGTCACCATCCTGTTGCTGTTGACACATGTTACAACTCGAGACTTCTGAGTGGCTTTGTTCTTCATAGAGAGGAACTTGTAAAAGAAAGAGGATTTTGACTTTTAACCATTTATATCAATTACTGCGGAGGTTTAGCTGCTGTTTTGTAGAAAGAATATAAAAAAAAATGTGTATAATTGAGCAAATGGAATATAATACTTTTTGACTTGTTTCGCATGCTTAACAAAGCTAATGGACTCGTGGCTGTTTTAGAGTGCAGCGTCCAAATTGCTGCTAGCTGTGATGGAATCACGCCACGATGTGGATAACGCTGAACGCGTACTTATGAACATGAATCATATGACAAGTGGGCCGAAACAACTGGTACTTTCAAAAAATCACTTATCCATGCGTGGCTATTAGTAATAATAGTGTTTTCAGCCATCTACTGAATTATAATTCATATGCACATGATCAACTAAGTATGTGTTCAGCTAAGTTTAGTATGGTTTCCACTGGAGCATTTTAGAAAGGTATTTAAATACTGAAATATTAGTAGTCATGCTCCGGATGAACGTTCTATTTATTTTTCAAAAGGCGCTCGCTTTCGCTGCTGTGGTAATTTTAGACTACAGTCTGCTATTCTGTGAACATTGGTGAGAAGCTGAATCCTCTGCGCTGGGTAGTTGTCAGTTTTGCTACGAGATTACCGAAAAAAAAGCTTTTTAAGACAGTTTACCCAGCTGCGACTAGACACTTAAAGTTATGCGTTGAATTCCTCATGTGGGTCTCCAAATTTCCGAAAATTTTTTTTCTTGATCAATTGGGCTGTATTTGTGTAAAAGCAACAGTCTTCAAGCACAAAAAATTTCACTGGTTCTTTTTTTGTATAATTATAAGGGTGTTATTCGAAAAAGGCCGAGTCACTCAAACTTGACGCCACTGTCTTTGCTTTTTATGCGTTTTTGCTTATATACAAATGCAAAAACGCATATTGTGACGACCCCGATGTGTGTGTTATGTGTATGCGTCTATCCGGATATTTCAACTCGGCACCCAGGCAAGCTCCGGCACCGAAATTTGGTCAGTGGCTTTCCTGGCCAAGTGCCACTCCAGGACTGCGGTACCATTCCTCACGCAAGTCTCTGAAATTTTGTGGTTATATCCCCCGTCCACAGAGAACTCAGAGATTTCAAATTGAGCCCCCAGGTTTGCGTAGTTCTCGCGTACAGCCCCGTGAGGGTTCCTGGCGCGAAAATCGCTAACTCAGTTACCAAGAAAGCTGAAGGGCTGAAATTTTCAGAGAATGTTCCCAGCACAAGTGTAACTTAAAATTATCAAACTCAGGCTTTCAGCTTGTGTGGCACTCACGTATGGCCCCATGAAAGTTTTTCGCGGGGAAGCGTCTAACTCGGGAACCAGAAAAGCTGGGAGGCTGAGATTTACAGAGAGTGTTCCCAGCATACATACAACAAAAATTTATCAGATTCAGCCTCCAGGCATGCGTGATTTTCATGTACTGCCCCGTGAAATTTTTTGGCGGAAAAATTGCTAGCTCGGGAACCTGGAAAACTAGGAAGCTGAAATTTTCAAGGAATGTTTCTAGCACATGTGCAACTTAAAGTTATCGAATTCAGCCCCTTGGTGTGCGTGGTTCTAATCTAAGGCCTTATGGAATTTCTTGGCTGGAAATGGCTAATTCGGGAACATGGGAAGCTGGGAGGCTGAAATTTTCAGGAAATGTTACCAGCACATGTACAACATAATTTGTCAAATTCAGCTTCCCAGGCACGTGCAGTTATAATATATGACCACATGGAAATTTTTGGCGGGAAAATGGCTAATTGGGGAGCCGGAAAAGCAGGGAGGCTGAAATTTTCACAGAATGTTCCCTGTTCAAACTTCCTAAAATTCGAAGATCAGTATGGCACACATTTCTAGCTACTGTGTTCCTGAGCGATCTCATTACAGCACGAAACATTGCAAAATGCATGATCGCACGGGCCCGCCGAGTGTGCGTCGCCAGTGATCACTGTTTTTTATCCAAGATGAGATCAGCGCATCTCTAATTAGAATTCATCCATTAATACCACATAACAGATCCTTTGCGGGTCTCTCAGCTGAATTTAGCATGTTCTCGTTAAATACTGTCCATTCTTCGGGCCGGGCCAGTTCGCGTATCCTTTTCTAACGACGTAAGTTCTCACTTGCTGGAAGAAGAGCTTTTGACCTTGCTTCTTTTGATCTACTTTTTATGTTTTGAAAACTTTTACCTTTGAGGTGGAAGCAATCAAAATGGCGTACGAAATGGCGGAATCAAAGCAATTTGCTATATCAAAAATACGACGAGATTTCGAGGTTTTACGCTTCGGGATTTTGTTCTTAGTTTTATAAATTGCACAGTTCTGGATTTTGCACTGAAAATGCACTTATTCTTATATTTCAAATCTGATTACCTTCACGCTCAAATTACACTTGGTTGCCACTGATAACTTAACAAATACGGACGATTTTAATGGAATTTGTTTGGGTGGCTGTTTTTTCCCAAAAAACTCCACCAGTTCAGTTTGATTTTAGCCAGTCATCAGTAGAGTGGATCATAAACAGTGGCATGTAACATGCAGCTTTTGAGGTTGACATATGTAAGGTAGATGAGATAGATATTTTGTGTTTTAAGCGTAAGAAAAAATTTTAGACAAGCTGTTCTACAGCTAAATCAAAGCCTAAAACGAATGCGCCAGATATCACTGTGCAGGATAACTTTATCGGTTCATATCCTTCTTCGACATCTTCAAGTATCGTGGATCCGCGCGAAGTACGTACAAATATTCATATTCTCATACTGCTTGAGGAAGTTTCTGCGTAAGTGATCGAAGTAGAGGAAGGAGAGACAGAGGGGGAGGAGGCGTAGAAAAGTATAGTTACGGATTATCTCAGGGGTTGGATAAGGTGGCCAGGATCATACTAGCGAAATGTTGTTGCATAACACGCTTGAGCACTTGTAGCGAATAATTAGCATAATGTTGATATTTGTAATCAGTAGGTACACAATAGTAAAACGTGTCAGCAATAAACTGCGCATTTATTTTATTTTGCTAGGTTGGCCATAATATTTTCATCCTTGCCTCGCAACTTTCGCGGCACAATGAAGAGCTTCGCATGGCACTAGAGCCGGAAAATCATAAAGATGCGATGACGTCGCAAGCTCTCTCCTATTACAAGCAGCACACTGCACAAATTGAGGTAAGATGATGTTTCCCGCAAAAACTATCATTTGCTTGCAGAGCTGCAGAAATTAAAAGTTGTTGCTGTAAAATCCTGTCAGAAAGTGACTTTTCTTTGTGCCATTTGCACAGCTGTTGTCAGAGTGTCGTTTTCTTGACGATATTTTATTGAGATGGTAGAAATAAGCGAATTTTATTTTAATACTTTGAAAAATCGTTGCTTTTGGCACTCGCTACTCCGCGGCTATTTCTTGATTACCTGTGTTTCTCTTAGATAGCAAATACGAAGGGGATTTTGATTTTTGACACTGATTTTGAAGGATGACAGCATATAGCTGCCCTCGTCCTAATCATTAAAGCGGCTGGTAGCAGTGCCGTTTTACTTGATTTAAAACTCATCTCATCCTAAACTCTATACAGGCGTTCGAGTGAATTCAATTCAAGAGCGACCTACCTAAAACAATTTTTAAAGCATTAAAATGAGCTCAGGTTTGGCAAATAGACATTAAATAAAAATTCATTGATTTGTAAATTTTCACTGAATTAATTTAGATAGTTCGATGTGATCGTAAAATCGAGAGAGTCGTCTTTCCTATCCATACAATTTGTAAGTATCTTACTCCAGAAACAAAGCTCAGCATTTTGTTGGAAACCGAACAGGATGCTCAAGGATCTAAGGTGTTCTCTCGCTTAACTTATTTATTATTTGACTGTGTATTTAGTGGGACAAGTGAAATAGAGAATCAAAATAATATCTTTTGCATAATAACAGTGATTTTTATGCGTTTTTGCATATATGCAAATGCAAAAAAGTGTATTGGCAAGAGCCTGTCCTTGAGTGTGTGTGTCTGTGTGTCTGCACTTTTTGTCACTCACTTTCAACTCAAGAAACATGAAAGTTAGAAGAGTGCAACTTTGGGAGTATGTGCCCACAGCATGTGCAACCCTCCTGCTTTAAATATCATCACCCGCGAAAATCTGAGTGCCACGTATGGACGCCTTAAAAAATATGTAAATTTTTCGACGGAAAAGCGATCTCAGGAACTACACAAGATAGAGAGCTGAAACTTTGTAAGGATATTCTCTGTGTATGTATGGGCTAAAGATTTCAAATTCAGCCCCTAGTTATTCATGGTTCTCGCGTAAAGGCACGTGGAAAATGGCTTGAATACTGCTAACTTGATAATCGGAAAAGCTGGAAGGCTGAAATTTTAAGAGGATGTTTCCCGTTCACGTATAGTTTGAAGCTTTCAAATTCAGCCCCCAAGTACGCATGGTATTCACGTGCGGGCATGTGAAAGTTTTGGCGGGAAAATTTCCGGCTGAGGAACCACGAAAGCTGGAATGCTGAGATTTTAGAGGAATGTTTCCTTGGAGATTTCAAATTTGGCCTCGAGGTATGCGTGGTTTTCGCGTATGGACACTTAAATTTTTGGCGGGAAAATTGCTCACTGAACAGCTAGGTCATTTTCAAGGAACAATCGCTAAGCGGCAGTTCATTTTTTTTTATGCAAAATTCACGACGATTTATGGTAGTGAGCGCATGAGGTAGGTGTAAAGCAGCAACCATTCTTGCAGTTCAACCTGATTACTTCAAGTTTGGCATAAAAATGCATGATCGCACCGGCAAGCCTGGTGCGTACTGGTCTAGGTTTTCTTGTGCACCTTTTCCAAAAGCGTTTTTAATAGATAACGGAATTTTTTGAACAATGGCCGAAGCTCTTCGAAGAAATGAAATGGCAAAGAAAGCTTCAAGGTATGTTTCAAAAACATTTTGTTTGTGGTATAGTGCCTAGGTGTTCTCCAGAAGTAGTCAGCGGCAAGAATGGGCTGCATCATCAATTTACAAAATAGGTAACTACTAAAACTGAGCTCGGCGGTGTCGAAAGGCGAGTTGCAGACCACGCGGGTCATAACGGAAGAGAAAGGTGCGGTTATTGGCTGTAAAGCTGAGAACCCGTTTGGAGGTAGGAATTGGAAATAGAAGCAGATTTTATGGGGGAAGGTGCCCGTATGAATTTTTCATGCTCGCTTTGAACGGTGATGCTGAGGGGAGCTAGGGGTCTTGAACGCGGCGCTTGGAACCTTACAGGGACAAAAACCTGGTACCACTATTTTCGCAACTCAAATCCGGACTCAAAAGTGGATGTATATTGCGTGGCAGAGCCGAAGCTGTAATGACTGTAATCACTTTAAATGAAAGACATCGGGGTTACCAAACATTCGGTGTGGCGCTGTAGTGTAGCCAAAAGCCACCCCTAGAGCGTTTACGTCATTCCTTTTTCTAGCCTAGTATATCCACTTCCGACATTTGAGCAATCGCTTATTTTGTGAGCTTTGATAATTGATAACTGCTAATTTTAGTAAAACGAACAACATGTCCTATTCAAGGGATTTAGCATTCTTTAATGGTTGCCGTAACTAAAATTGGTAGAAGTAGGAAAGACATTCATTTCTTCAGAAGATTTCAAGTTTAAAAATCAGACGAAGTACAAATGAGTAAAATACAGTAATGAAGTAATTACCCTGAGAGTTTGCAACTTTGCTTGTTATGCTTAAAGCTGCTAATGTTGAATCTGAGTTAGTGATTTCAGATAGGAAGTATCTCAGTAACTGTACAAAGCGCCTAATACTATGGGCAAGGATATCATTTTTCTTCGCAATTTTGATAAATACTATTATTGCTGTATTTTATCCATTTCCCGAAAGTAATAAACAAGGTATAACTTTAACTCATAAATCAAAATTCCTCCGTATTCAGAAGTGGCTCGGATGGTAGTAAATGCCCAGACCATCTATGCACTGACAAAGCTGTTGATGGACCCTCATTTAAGAGTTGCTTTGGCGTAAACTTGATGGCGAGTTTGACTCTTGTCGTACGCCAACTCCATTGCACCATCCAACGAATGAACAGTTCGGAGAGATTTGCCTCAAAGAGCATGAGAGCAGCACCACTTGCCACTGCTTCGTGCCGCCTGCCCTGCCGTAAGACGTTAAATTGCTTACTGGCTGTTGCAACTTTAGAGAATTTAATTCTTTTCAATTGTTTTAAAGCTTTTGAAATATCATAGATTTTTGGGACTGCTCATCACTGAAAGATATTTTGTGCCTAAATATAACTCTTTTTCAGAACTTATATCACCGAACAATCCATTTCTCTATGCATTTCCGATGGCATCGCTGCTTTTTTTGCGAACGCAGTGGAATGATAATTATGTTTTTACACAGTTTTTTTAGAAAGCAGAATAACTCATTTTATTGTCGTGATAGTCTACCGATTAATGAACATGGCTCTTTCTTGTTTGTGGTGAGGTAACAGTACCGAAAATAGAGACAATACGCATAAAAATTATCGAAGAGTCCATGAAATTTCGCCAGGGTAGCCAATTTTTAATCGAAAAAAGTCCAGATTCAGTTAGAATAAAAACATAGTGACCAAAATATAGACAATTTCTTCTCTTATTTTTGTGCTTTGCGCAAAGTTCGCCTTTGTCTTGCATTCTTCTGGAAACAGGTTTTACCAACAAATACTGGTCGCAAATGATTGATTCCGTCATTGCATAAATTGTTCAAGCAGGAAGATTTGAAATAAAAATAGCTCAAGAGGAAATCACTAGCGATGCGCACCGGGCGGACCCATGCGATCATGCGTTTTTGCAGTATTTCGTGCTGTAATGGGATTGCTCGGAAACCTAGTAGCTAGAATCTGTGACATACTGGTCCTTGAAGTTCAGGAAGTTAATTGTCTACGCGGTACTGGGCAGGGAATATTTCGCTGAAATTTCAGCTGTCCAAATTTTATGGTTCTTGAATTAGCAATTTTCCTGCCAAAAAATTTCATAGGTCCTCACACGAGAACCACACTTATTTGGGAGCTGAATTTGGTATCTTTAACTTTTACGGGGCTGGGGACATACTCCTAAAATTTCAGCTCCCAGCTTTCCTGGTTTCCGAGTTAGCCATTTCTCGCCGAAAAAATTTACGCGGCCGTATGTGAGGGCCACGTATGCCTGAGGACTGAATTCAGTAATTTGTTGTACATTTAGTGGAAACATTCCCTGAAAATTTCAGCCTCCCAGCCTTCCTGGTTCTCAGGCTAGCGGTTTTCGCACTAGGAACCCTCACGGGTCCATACGCGGGCAACACGCATACTTGGAGGCTGAATTTGAAATCTTTGAGTTCTACGTGAATGGGGAAGATAACTTCAAAATTTCAGCTTTTTAACTTTTCTGGTTCTCGAGTTAGCGATTTTCCCGCCGAAAATTTTACCCTCTTATAAGCGGGATCCAGACTCGCACGAGGGTTGGTGCCGCGGTCCTGGCGCGGCATTTGATCGGGGAACCCACTGGTAAAATTTTGGTAATTTTTACCCATTGGTGAAATTTTTGCGCCGGAACTTGCTTGGGTGCCGAGTTGAAATACCTGGACAGGCGCACACACACGCATACATGTATACATACATACATACATACATACATACATACATACATACATACATACATACATACA